CAGTGTGCCACCGGGCCGGCCCTTTTTTGTCCTTTTTGAGACCAGCCGCACCATGATCAGCCAGTGAGCGCAGCGGCCATCCCTATATAGGATCCGAACCCGCGGCGGGAGCGCTGCTGTGCTCTCAGCTCTACACTCTCCCCAGTGCGCCATGGGCTCAGCCCTGAATGTTCTATTCTTTAATGGCATCCTGGTCTAGTTTCATGAATCTATTATTTTAAAATTCTCCTTCCTGATTTGTATCTCTTTTGTTTTAAGCTCTCCCCTTCTACTCTCAACCACGTACATTTGTTTTCCACCACAGAGTACTTTGTGCTAACAGGCAGCTCCAAAGATAGCTCTCAGGGTGGCAGTGGAAGAGAGAGAGCGTAATCTCCATCATACTCCAAAGCCTCTGAAATAATAAAATCTAAGGGAAAATAACGTGAATATTATACAGTTACAAGTCTCTGACTAATTTTTAAAATTTACTGTTTTTTATATGCTTGGCCTTATTCTTTTTTTCTAAAATGCTCCAATAGACCTAACACGAGCCTATCAATGTTTCTTTCTAAATGTTCAGAAACAACTACAAATTTTCTATCAGTTCCATTGCCTTCTCAGAGACCTTCACACCTTTACCTTCCTACACCCATCTGGACCTGTGGCTTTAGACATTTCTGTATGGTTAGTTTCCTGTGAATGCTCTTCACCCATTTCCTGTGTTTGGCCTCCTGTTTCTTGGATCTTTGTTTTGTGTTATGTGGTTTACTTCCAAGTGCTGCTTAAGCATATCCTCCAGTTGTTTCTTATGAAAGATTAGATGGGAAGTGATTTAAAAAAAATACTTTGTGTATCTGAAATGGCCTTTATTATGCCTTCACACTTTATTGATAGTGTGAATGTATAGAATTCTCAGTTGGAAATCCTTTCACCCTAGAATTTTGAAGGTTTTCTGTCTTCAAGCATACAAGTGTTTAATGCTATTTTGAGAATTACAACGTCATTCTTATTCCCACTCCCTAGCATATGACCTGTGATCACCACCACTCACCCCATAGCCTACACCCCTTGAGTTTAGAATCTTGAACTTGGTTATTTTGTAATTTTCCCATGATGTGCCTCACAGTAGGACTTAAAAAATTCATATGTTAAGCAGCCATTGGATCCTTTCAATCTGGAAACTCTTCTCCTCTAGTTTTAGGAAAATTTTCTTTTGTTGTATTTTTCTTATTTTCATTCTTTAGATTTTCTGTGGTGCTTCTTTCTGGAAGTCATTGTAGCCACATGCTAGA